TTCAGTCATATCCTTTCCCTTCCTAAAGTGGTAGTTTCTTCTAAAAACTGGTCAGTCCTTGCTCCTTTGAATGGTTCATGTTCTAGGAGTCAGAGGGGTTGTGCATTCATTTATTCAGTTAACTAGTAGGTGCAGACATTGTACACAAAGAATGCAGTTTAGCTCCAGCATCCAGCAACCAAAGCACTAGGACCTGCCATCAGTCCAAGGAGCACAATGAACTCAGTTCTCATTGATCCTCACGTGGGCCACAAGAAGACTTAAGAAGGAGGAGTGAGTAAGACTCTATCCTGCTTGGGGACCAGTGAGGTGTCAGGAGTAGGCTAAATCCCTGGACTAGCAGTCAGGAGATGTCAGTTCAGTTCCTAATTCTGCCAATAAGTTGCTGTGTGAATTTAAGCAAATCACTGCATCTCTCTCTGCTCCTCTTCTTCTGACCCTATGTCTGTTGTGTATTTAGCCTTTATGCCACAATGATTTACACACATGCTTAATTTGACTTATAGATTGTGAGTAGTTCCTCTGACTTCAATAGGACTACTTACTGTGTACAAAGTTAAGCACGAATGCTGGTTTTTTGCAGGATCAGATCCTTAGACTGCAAGCTCTTCAGGCCGGAGACTCCCTCTTATTAAGTATTTGTACAGTGCCAAGCACAATGGGGTTCCAATCTCAGTTGAGGCCAGTATAATATAAAAATAAATAATAAATGCTCCCTTTACAAAGCAAAAAAGAAAAGCAGATAATTGGTGCAGCTGTGTCCACAAAAGCCTGGTGAGTGGCTCCTTGAGAAATAAAAGTTGTCAGAAGTTTATTGCCAAGAGAGCAACAAATGTTGTGCTAAGGTGCTCAGCTTCTTCATATATCAGATACCATTCATTACCAATATTACTTGAAAATATTTTTTCATTTGTGTTCACTGATTTTACATGTGGATGATCCAATATAATATTATTTACTGTTCTAATATAGGTGGAATTATAAAAAAAGATTAGCCTGATTAAAATTATATAAATCTCCACATGGTTTGAAATGGCTTCTCTCCTTTTGTGCAATGGGATGCATACAACTCCTAGAATGACTGATGAAATAGGATTTTTTTAATGAAAATTTTCTCTTTGTTATGCTCAACTGGAAAGGGGAAGATGAAAAATAAGATCAAATTTATCATCTGAAACTGCTGTAAAGCTGCTGTTTACTGCAAAATACAGGTATACTCCAAATACTAATTTTTGAATGACTTTTTTACCCCATAAAAGGGTCCCTACAGGTTAGGGTTAACATGTATCGCTGGTGTGGTATGGGGGAGCTCATACCTCCACTGCCTCCATTATAAGTATTCTGCTGATAGAAGACTTTGGTCTCTCATGCTATTAGTCTAGGATATTCTTTCACCACTAAATTTGTACAGTGCCAAGCACAGTGGGGTTCCAATCTCAGTTGGGGTCAGTATAATATAAAAATAAATTTACCACTAAATTTACTGGGCCAGTATCTCAACTGATGTGAATTAGCATAGCAAAGGAGGATCAACTGTGGATCTGACTCTCTGTTAAAATATTTTAGACTCCTGTTTTTTTGATATAGCTATAGAAAGGAGGAGGGATTTTTTTTTATACTTACCTACCTTATAAGTGGTGAAGGGAAAATAAATGTGTATTTTGTTTTATTTTTTTTAAATACTTGAGACTGAGTGAAGTTCCAGTAGTGGTGATTCACTTTTGTGAGTATTCCAGATCAAAGTCCACCTTTACTCTCACCAAGTGCTTACAATGAGCAGCTCCAACAGGAGGTGATATTGTATAGCTAGTAGCATTTTATTTCCTGGAAAAAACATTAATTAGTTGGTTTTTTTTAAATATAACATTCTTGGGGTAGTCTTTACAAGGTTGTTCCTATACATAGTTTCTCAGTTTAAATATTGATGAAAATGTAAGATAAGTGAACAGCTGGTCTTAAAACATCTCCTTTTGTAATAGCTTATTTTAATTCTGAAGCAAAATTCAGGACAGCATAGAAATGAAGGGAAGGAGTAACACTCAGAATAAAACACACAGAATAGATGAGCATCTCTAGAGGTTTACCTGAGGGACTGTCTATAATAAATTAAAATCATAAACTCTTCTCTAAGCTTCATTAAACATCAGTACCTTCTAATTAACTGGTATGTTTGTTGTCTTAAAGGAACACAGGACATTATACAAGTCTAATATACATTATATAAATTGGTTAGAAGATAAAAACAACACAGTGTATTTTCTACATTATCTTGCATTACTTGACAGGAAGAAGAATGTCAATTTAAGGCTTTGGCCATTCTTTACCATTGCAGCTTCATTTAATGAATCACCACTGGTTTATTGTATTGCCATGGCAGACCTAGTAGACGCTGCATTCAGTAAACCTTCCACAAATATCAAGAGGAAAAACATTTTACAGATATTAAGCAACAAGATGAATCCTGATTTTCAGTCTTATCTGTTAGAAGGTGAAGAGCTGAATTTAAAAAGATGTGTGCCTTCTGAAGTGTTGAGAAATCCCTTTTTTTGTGTGTGCGCTGAATTTCCTATCTCCTTGCTAGTTTCTCTTGCTTACTAATAGGCATCCTGTACTTAGATTGACGGTACTGAATAGGCCCATATTTCTAGCTTCCAGAATGTTGGATTGAAAATCAACCTTTGTTTTGAAATAGATGAAAAGGGAGGGTGCAGCCAACACAAGGATGTCTCATCTGTCATACTAGTACAATAGCAAAGAAATTCAAATGAAGTACTTCACGATATCTCTCAGCTTCTTTCACAGATTTTTACCCCGCGCCAAAAAGAATGATTAGCTGACTGTTTCCACATTAATCTGTGAGATTTAGGATTGTGACTGAGATCAGTTAGTACAGTTCTACATGGACATTAACTGTTTTACAAAATGAAGCTTTATGCATTTCTGCTTTGCTTTTTTTTTTGGAAATTAAGCATCAGGCTGGCATTTACAGGAGGAACATAATCATTCCAACTTGTTTTATGAGGATATCTTTACAGTGCTTGATCTCCAAAATGCTCAGCTACTTTTCAACACGAAGGAGGCTTTGGGTTTATGATGAGGATTATATGTCATAAATTTCCTTGCAGTCTTATGAACAGGCACTGAATGTCCCCAAGTAAACAGGTTAAAGGGGTTATTGGCAATTAAGACTTATGTTTTCCCGATTCTTTTAAGTGCCCATGAAATGCTGTTGCTTCACCAGGTCCCAGTGCCAGTTTCCACACACAGAGGTATGAATTCAGCTAGTGACACTGCATACACTGCTGAATGTAGCTGGAGGATTCAGCCAACCTCTTGGGGCTGAGTCCTGTTGTTTAATCTTCTCAATATTGAATTTAGTTTACATGTACTTATTCTATATCCAATAGAATATAAAATAACATTTAAAATATTACGGGGCACTATTGGAAGGGAAAAGTGGCTTAACTTACCTCTAGCACAAGTCTATATTAGTCAGATATGTTCAGACTAATATAGGGAGCAGGATTAGGAGCAGCGTGCATCAAATTAAGTAGAAACTGGGAACTGCAGCAGGATGTTGGAAACAGCACTTCATTGATCTGTACAAGAACAGAACAATGTAAATTTAATTTTCTGAAAACCCCTTTACCCCCTTTATTTGGATCATTTACAAACACTCATTTAACAGCTTTTTTTTTTTAAATTACTTTTAATAATTTAAGAGGATTTCAGCCAGTGATGCCAGCCTTGATGTTCCTGTTTCGTTCTCTAACTCTAGTGTTCATGCCTGCTTCAGTGCCATCCTTATACCTGGAATGACCTCTCAATCCCACTGCACTTGTTTCCTCCCTCCTTCATTTAAATTCAATTCTGTGTTTCACAATTTGTTGCCATCAGAATGACTGTGATGTAGCTCTTTTGACATTGTCACCGCACTGCCAGCTCAAATAGGAATTGCAAATTGGCTGGGACAGCGCAAACTCTGGTTTGAAACTAAAAATATGTCACGATTAGCAAATATACCCTGCATCAAATGCATTAAAAAGTCACCTGAAAAACAAGTGAAAGATAACAGTAGTTATATTTGCCTATTAAGTTTGAAAATTTTCCTCAGTGTGACATTTATCGCCTAGAGAAAAATATATCCTTTAAAGAAATTTCCTGTGTGTTTGTGTGTATTACTTTTAAATTACATGATAAACTTTTAATTACATGAAAATATGTTTACAAGTCAGCTGTTAAAAGGTTTTAAAACAAAAGGCCTACTTTCAAAGGTCTGAAAACACATTTTGATGTTGCATACCTCATTGCAAAAATAGAAGGAGAGGTTATTACACTATGCAGAAATAGTATTTTAAAGTTTTTTAGGACAGATTACAGTCTTTTATATAGTAATTGTAGCAGATGTTTCAATCAAAATGATTTGCTAACTGTACTAAAAATGAGATTCTGTTTAAGGGCCTGCATTATTGCATTTCAGAAATAATATTCTGCATAATGTCTGTAACAAGGTATTTTATCTAAGAGCCCATTGTAGGTTTCTTATTATGGGTTCCAGGCTACTGCAACAATAAAAGTGTTATTCAAATGTACATTAATGCATTCAATCCTCTAATAGCAGCATTCATATCCATCTATAAATAGACAAACAATTATATTGAGTACTTGTTATTCATCCTCAATACTTTCTTTTTGTATTTCACTTTTAATTTCCAGACCTTGGAGCACTAATACAGTGGAATTGTGTTCAATACAGCAAAATTGATTTAGTCTGGGAATATCTGTGGTTTCTAGGTTTATTAAAATTTACTTTTCCAGTTGCAGAGGTCATTTTAGTGCCATTTTCAGAATAGTGAAAACAGCTCAAGGCTTCAAATAAATGCAACTTCAACTGAAATCTAGAGTTGGCATGATGTTTTATGAACATAACAGAACATACACTTACATGATAAAGCATTTTAGTGTCCTTCAACAAATTGATTTTCTTTTCTTTTTTCTAGATACACCTTCAGTTAAAATCATATCTTCCAGTTCATGGCCAGAAGAAGGACAATCTATAGTTTTGACTTGTGAATCCAAAGGAAAACCACTGTAAGTATTTACCAAGCAATATGTTTTTTGTTATTTTCCTTATTGTGCTTTGATTGCAGACTGACTGCAAAAATCTGCTGTTTTTGTCTTTTCCTGAGTGTAAAGTGATCTCTGGTACAGAAAACCCCTTGAAGCCTGTCTTCATTAAGTGCCTGTGAAAGATTGGTCTTTTGCTTTGTCATCTATTTCAGTTTTGGGGAAGGATTCCAGCAGTGAGATTTTTTTCAGTGAAAGCTGTGCAGGATTAATCGGACACTGTTTAGATCATCGGACTGATAATAGTTGAGATAAAACATCACATGAAAAATTTTCAAATCAACGTGCCTGTGGGAAAATGTACTGAACTTTCTGGCTACTTTGTTTGTCATTTACATGAAAATTGGAAATTTAATGATATATGCAAATTGGCTATCCAGTTCTATCCCAATTTAAAAAATAAAGTGTGCATTAAGAAAACGAATTGTAGACATCTCAATTGTACTTGAAAATTGGTAACTATATCCCTTTCAACATTCTTTTTAACAGCCAACTCTGTCAGTATTGAAATTGCACAGAATCTGCTATTTTTTTTAAAAAAAATCCTAAAATGCTTTCTTTGCGATTACAATAAATCTCTAAGGCTTAACCCCTGATTTAGAAAAGTAAATTCCCGGTTGAAATGTGTTTTGAGTTTAGGCATGAATGAGTAGAACTGAAATGAGATGCCTGGATATACATGTAGGTATTAAAAATATATCTTTCGTGTAGCATGAAAATAATATGCTTTGGAATATATTTGGATATTTCTGGAATCACACTTTGATAATACTTATGTGCAAGATACATGCAAAAAGTCCTTTAATTCTCAAGGCGAATTCTTCCTTGGTATAACTCAATTAACTTTGTGGGTTTACTTAAAATAGGAACTTAGCCTTTGGTGTCTGGGGTCATTTAAGAGAGATTTTTTTAATAATTGTTTTGGGGTATATCTCATTTGTACAAGATATATGTTCAGGTGATCTTTCAGTGATCTTACCTGTCCTTGAATTATAGAAGAAAAAGAAAATATTTTGCCCTTCAGTCTTTAGCAGCTTTGGTGTGCAGCAGATAACTATATATCAGAAATCTTTATTGATAAAAGGAGTCACTTGTTTCACATGCCAGAAGGATAAGGCTCTTTTATTGAAGGAAGCAAATAATCTCCTCACTTTATCAGGAGATTTTCTTCCAGACTATGACTTTGCAATTACAGTGCCATTATGGATGGCATTTTATGATGGCCATAAAGAATGACATATTTTATCTTGATGCATAAACTATTATACATTTCAAATTCTTTGTATGTTATCAAGGACCTTTAGCAGACTTCAGGTAAATCCAATTTTAGAAAAAATATTGTTATAAATAACTCATTTTTATTTAAATATGCAGGGCTATATGTTCAAAATCTTTGAAACCAAATGGAGTGTTTGCATGAGTGGACTTTGTACTTATGGTGCATTTTCAAGGAAGGCATGAGTGGGACCCCAGTGGATTCAATTGCAAATTTTTGTATGTGGTGGTAGGGATGAATTAGGAGGGTAGCCAAGGAAAAGTCCACACCATGGAATTATCAAAGGAGGGAGCCTGTATTCAAGTGGGCTTTGGGTTACAAATGATTTGTGCTATTAATTGCATCTCTAATTGTCCATGCCACGGAAACTACCAACACCAGCTTCTGCTATGTTGCCTCATTAGATCAGCCATTTTATATGCAGCAGCCAGTGATAAACAGGTAGCCATCTGGGAAAAACCACCTGTAACTACTTGGCATGATAATAGCAGCATCATTGTGGCTACCTTTATACTCAGAACGGGAAAGGAAAGAGGAGAGGTCCATAGAGCCCATCTATGTCACAGGGTTTGTAGCTAATGAATTAGTAAAGGTAAGGGGAGGAAGAGAATGAAGTCCATGAGCCCTGTGCACAGTACAGAGCCCAACCATATCCCCCAGTGGGATTTACAGGCCATAGCTTAGCTTCCTCAATATGCCACAACTTTGTGTGGTAGTTAAAATACTCCACTCTACTTTCTCTGTGGTATCTATTGTACAGTCAGTCATGTAAATCTATTGAGACTAGAGCCAGGGTAGGGCTAGGGCTGCACACAGGGATGCTAACGTGTGGTTGGAGATCATTGTGGGGGAAGGGGTCAAGGAGCAGTGTACATGTGATTACATGCATAACCTTGAGAACTGCTGCAAACTAGCCCCATCCCAAAGGGGGCAGGGAGAATAAGGGCGAAAATGGGGTCATGGCCCTGTCTGTTCGCCCCTCTCATTGACAAGCAATTCTGAGTCAAACTGAGAGGGGTAACACGCTGCACCTTTCCAAACTTGGTAGAGCTGCCACTTGAGAGTATTCTTCCCCAGAGGAATTCTGCCAAAGTCAGCCAGAATTCTTCCAGGGGCTGCTTCCACTGCATTGTGACCTGTCTTCACATCCTGCAATGTGAGCCATGGCTTAAACCCACAATAGGAACCTTTTGTTTTAAACAAGTAAATAAAGCAAAGGAAAGCTTTGGATTTAGACGTGTTTTGTGGCATGGTGAGTGGAGCATTTTGGTACTGTGGGAGAAGCATGTGTCTTTGTTCATTTTATTGCCAATGTGCGACAAGGTCCTGGGGCTCCAATTTAAAAGAAAAGGTTGGAAAATGCTGTCCTAAATGCTATACATATGGATAATATGAAGTTTTCAAATTTCTCTCTCCACTGGTAAAAAGGTTACATCAAAGTAAAGGAAAAGTGTCCAATCTGTGTACCTCAGAGGCTGTTCTAAAACAGATCATGTTGTACATTTAATTCTCTAGGAAAATGTACCTCATTTTCTGCTAAAATGGACAACTTTGAAAAGACAAATGACACTACGCTTCTCTATGTAATGTGTAGTTCAAAATATAGGGGGAGCCAGATGCCTCAATTTTAATTTGCATTTCATTTGAACTAAGGCATGGGAATTACAGAGTATCATTGTATGCTGTATACGGGAGTAAAATAGATGTTTCCACTAACTTCTTAAGCACTTTGGTATTACTCCAATGGGCAAAATTCTGCCCTCATGGAGGATAAATTCATGGAAGATCGGTCCACCTATTAGCCAGGATGGGCAGGAAGAGTGTCCCTATCCTCTGTTTGCCAGAAGCTGGGAATGAGCAACAGGGGATGGATCATTTGGTGATTACCTGTTCTGTTCATTCCCTCTGGGGCACCTGACACTGGCCACTGTTGGAAGACAGGATACTGAGCTAGATGCATCTTTGGTCTGACCCAGTAGGGCCATTCTTATGTTCTCATAAAAATGACCACATCAGAAATATCTCTTTATTTTAAAGAATAGAACAGTATATCTATCAAGATATAGCAGATTTTCCCCTCCAAGCATATACATATTTTCAACATTTTTCTTCAGTCTTCTTTGCCTCTAGACCCAGGCTGGCCTGTAGGAAAATGGAGAGAGATGCTATAATTAAAAATGTGCAATATCAAGTTTTTCCCACAAAATGCAGCTCTTTCAACTCTAAATGAGGCATGCTGCATGATAATCAGATGATATTACAAACCCATTCACCTATGACAATCAATCCCTGGAAAATAATAATGTGCTCTTCATACAACAAGTACAAGAGTTCTTTGTATAGAAGAGTTCTTTGTATTCATTCTGATGGGGGTGGGGAAATAATATACCAGATATGTACAGCTCTGTGCTACTTTCTCCTCATCCTCTGACATTGCTGTGTGTGGTTTTCTCTCCCCACCATCATCAGTAGAAACAAAAGTTATGGTCAGCAGTAGCTTTTGTTTGACAGGAGTCAGAATAGAATTAGTTTGCTTGTTATACCGGTCTTTTTCAGTAGTAGCATCTCTTTTGACTGATGGTGATGTGGCAGACAGGGTTTCTTTTTTCATAGATTCATAGATTCTAGGACTGGAAGGGACCTCGAGAGGTCATCGAGTCCAGTCCCCTGCCCGCATGGCAGGACCATTTTAAGCAAATGCTGGGGTGATGTCTTGTCTCAGGTTGCAGTTGGTTACAGTGTCTGTCTTGTCATTGTGGATCCTACTGTTGATTTGCTTTGAGTGTGAGGACTTCATGGCTATTTTTGAAAAATATTGCTGTATTTTGCAGTTCTGGACTAAAACATTTTGCTAGTTTTTTTGTCTGTTGAATGGCTGTGTAACTTGGACCAAGACCAAGTTAGTGCACTTGATACAACTATTAAAGAATATGCTTCCCTGTTTCTGGAGAGACCATTGTACTTTTTCATCCATACTGAAACTTATCACTTTCCTTTTCAGTCCTCAGAGTTCCTTTTCTCTTCTTCTTGACCCTGGGTGGATTCCCAGGCAGCTAACAGGCTATAGCAATTTTCCACTTTTCAGACTACACCGGCCTAATATATCTAAAGAATCATAATCTTTAAATACATTTGTTTCAAATGTCTCTCTTGCAGGTTAGTGTAATTTTATCTAAATCTGTGTTAGACAATTGTTCAGAGAAGGCTATCTGACTACCCTACAGAAATATTGCACTCAAACAGTCTTCCAGCAGAACTCTTCTGTAATGTCCAATGTAGATTTCCTTCCTATTACATCCAGGCCTATATATCAACAGTAGGGTCCACCAGTATTCCCATATATTAAACAAATATTCATAGTTTGATATTTTTTAAGGTTGGGGGAAAAAGTAAAAGAATTTAAATCAGAATACTGATGAGTTCTATTGTCTGTATTGTCAGAAGATTGAAGAAGCAACATTTTGCTTGTTACCCCAAGTTATACCTTCTAGTCACCATTTTGTCTTTCAGTACAATAGGTTCTGATGGCTAAAGACTGACATAAAGCTGAATTCAAAATTGCACCCGACTGTATATCAAGCGTTTGAGAATAAAGTGCATTATAATGCAAAAAGATAAATATTTAGTATTCTTAGCCAGCACTTTCACCAAGGAGTGCATGAAATGTGTTTTCTAATTAGGTGAGGGC